GAAGAAGGTGCAGTTTCTCGGACACATGGTGAGTGCCGAGGGCGTACACGTGGACCCGCGGAAGATCGAAGCCGTCAAGAAATGGAAAGTACCGGAGAATGTGAAGGAGTTGCAGCAGTTCCTAGGCTTTGCCAACTACTACAACAGGTTCGTGCCGCAGTATGCTAAGATAGCAGCGCCACTGACCGACCTACTGAAAAAGGATACACCCTACAAATGGGATACTCCTCATCAGCAAGCCATGGAACAGCTAGAGAGAGCACTGACTATAGCGCCAGTACTCATCCTACCAGATCCAGACAAGGACTACGTGGTGGAAGCAGACGCTAGTGACCAAGCAGTCGGAGCAGTACTGATGCAGGATCACGGACGCGGTTTGCAGCCCATCGCCTACCTCAGTAAGAAGCTACACGGAGCAGAACTGAACTACCCCATCCATGACAAGGAAGCCTTAGCGATAGTCATAGCCTTCAATGCGTGGAGGTGTTACCTAGAGGGAGCTAAGACCACAGTCTATACTGACCACTTCAGTATCGAATACCTGAAGTCGCACCCGACGCTCTCAGGACGACAGGTGCGGTGGGTGGACTTCCTGGAAACTCACTTCCACTACGACATCGTCTACAAGCCCGGGCTACACAACAAGGCAGACGCGTTGAGCCGCCCTGGACATGTAGCAGGCATCCAGCTCGACGGGATGAACCCTCTGCTCAAGGGTCTATTCCAACATGGATACTCCGTGGACACAGAGATCGCTACAGCACAGACCAAGAAGCTGTTACAGTGGGAGAAAGACTTAGCTGTAAGGAAGGGTTCAGGAAAGATTTGGGTACCGAATTACGCCCCGCTACGGCAGATCCTATTGGAGGAGTTTCACGACGTACCTTATGCGGGACACTTCGGGAGCAACAAGACGTTAGCGGGAATACCAAAGTATTATTACTGGCCCGGGATGGCAGCAGACGTGCAGCAGTTTGTCACCTCTTGCGACACATGCCAGCAGATGAAGAGCAGCAAGCAGAAAAAAGCAGGGTTACTTCAGCCTCTACCCGTACCGGAGCAGCCATGGCAGGTCGTTAGCCTCGACTTCATCACGGGACTTCCATCGACCTCTCGGGGACATGATTTCATCCGCGTAGTCATCAATAAGTTCTCCAAAATGGGTCACTTCATACCGACCAACGCCACAGCTACAGCTAAAGCAATTGCTCGCCTCTTCTTTGACCACATCATCACCATCCACGGCATCCCCGCTACACTCATCTCAGACAGAGACCCCAAATTCACGAGTAAGTTCTGGAAGGAGCTCATGGGATTATTGGGGACTAAACTTGGGATGTCCTCAGCATACCACCCACAGACTGACGGACAGACCGAGCGACTCAATCAGGTGGTTGAACAGTTACTGCGCACAGCTTGCAAAGACGATGTCAGCGACTTGGACACACAGTTACCGACCCTAGAGTTCGCTTACAACAACGCGTCACATGCGGTCACAGGGAAAACTCCTTTCTTCATGTGTTATGGACGGGAACCACTCACACCACAGCAGCCAACCACACCGGCACACATCCAAGCCACACATGACTTTGTCACCACCATGCAGCAGCTATGGGAGAAGACTCAGCGACGACTCACCACAATGCAGACCTCCCAGAAGCAGTATGCCGATCGTCAGCGACGAGATCACTCAGTAGCAGTCGGGGATCAGGTGCTTCTTGACACGCGCAACTTGAATCTGTCTCACCTCCCATCAAAACTCTGGCCTTGCTTCTATGGTCCTTTTCTCGTTGAGGCTCAAGTGACACCAGTTACATTCCGCTTGCGCTTACCAGATACATGGAAGCTTCACAATGCTTTCCATGTTCAGCTACTGAAGCCCTATAAGGACCCTAACCAACAGCTCCACGGACGGCAGCTACCGCCACCACCACCTGTTCTCATATCGGATGAACCCGAGTACGAAGTGGAGCGTGTTCTCACTCATCAGCACCGCGGCGGCAAGACCCTCGAGTTCTTGATCCGCTGGAAAGGATACGACCCCACTGAGGACAGTTGGGTTGCAGAAGTTGATATGGGCAACGCACGCTGTGCTCTCAATGACTATCTTGTCAAGCAGGGTGTTTCTCACGCCACCCAGATTTGAGGGGGGGACGTGTGAAAGTATGACGGCTTATGCTGGCTTTGCTAGCTTGCCTAGACTTTATTATGCTATTACTAGCTTGGGTTTTATTCATCATGTATGGATATGCTTGATTTCCTAGGTTAGGTGCATTCCTATATTTTATTATAGTTATAGCACCGAACCAGGTTACGTGTACTGAACTCAAGCCTATTCGGTTTCCACCGAATCGCTGTCTACTGAGTTTGGGAAGGTTCACTTCGGGACGCTTTGCGACCCTCAGAACATTCGCATAACACGTGGGTAACTAGCCTTGTGTTGAGCCTATATATAGCCTCGTCTTGTACCCAGGTGGATCATTCAATTACAATTCTCTTTTCTGAGCTCGATCCTAGATCCTCACACGGAGAGTCACTCTACAACAGTAGTGAGATAGACTACGGGAGTTGGCACAAACTACTAGGAGTGGTCGTAGCTTTGCTTAGTTCCTTAGCGCTTGCGCATTCATGGGAGAAATCGGCAAGAGTTTCCACTAGCAAAGTCAAATGCGCGGAATAACAGAAAAAGCAATAACAACAATGACCACATTAGGCACCTAGCAACTCTGCAGCTAGCCTGGTCAACCATCAGCGCAGCTTGGTCGACCGCCTGCCAGCGTTGCGTAGAGGAGTTGCGTCAGCACTGCAGAAGAGCGACCCGCCAACACTGCAGGTCGACGGCGTGCCAACGCTGCAGCAAAGTGGTTGTGCAGCGTTGCCCTGTAGAAGACAGCAGTGCGCACGCTCGCAGGTGTGCGTAGAGGATTTCCCCGACTTGCATCGTTGTGCATCCGTCGGCTGTTGTCTGCGCTTGACGAGCCACATCGACTTCGGGATACCAACCCGAAGTTGCCTTAGCCACCGCGACCTCGACGACGTTCGCGTGCCTCCGCAAAACTCGTCGAGCAGGTTACCCGGTCGACCTGGACACCACCAAGTGCTCTAGTCGACCACCAAATGCCTCTGGTCAACCACCACGTCCCTCTGGTCAACCACCACGCCCCCCTGGCCAACCACAGCTCCCGTCGAGCTACCCCCTGGTTGACGGACCCCTTCCGTCGACCAGTACTGTCAGCGGTTGTCGCCGAGCTCCCCTTGTCGACCGCTGCTCACTTGTCAGGTCGACGGACTGCTCTATTGACCTCCCGGTTGAACTGTAGGTCGACGGACTGCTCCGTCGACCTCCCGGTCGAACTGCCCCTCCTGGTCGACGGCCCACCCGTCGCCCAGACCAGTCAGTTGCAGCTGTCGAGCTCGCTGGTCGACAGCAACACCACAGCGTTGCCCTGCAGGTCAACAAAGCTTGACGAGCAGCTCTCCCACTGTGAACGATGGGCTGCTTCTCACGTACATCTGACCAAGTCCTCGGCGTTGCCCAAGCGAGGGCGGGGCCAACACTCCACTCCCAACAGCAACCCCTCCTACCTCCGCCCAACACTAGCTGCAGAATACCACATCCTCCTCTTTACTAACCTCTTTCCTCTGCTGTCCCTTCTAGTGCTCCTGTGCTCCCTGCATTCTTCAACGCCACCCCTCTCTCTGCTAGTGCCCTGAGTCCATTTCCACTCATATGTCGTGTCTCCTCCTTTTCTCCATCATCCTCCTCTTTACTAACCTTTTCTCTCTCTGATGCCCCTGCTGGTGCTCGTATGCTCCCTGCATCCTTCGATGCTATCCTGCTCTCTCCTAGTGCCCAATTTCTAAGGATAGGCTACACACGCAACACATCTCTCCAGCTCCTCAGAAACCTTATCCCAGAGCCAGCTGCCCACTTTCGTTGCATTGCTCCTGCTTGTACCCAGATTCGTTTCGAGAATACCTTGGCCTTGAAATATATATGTATTTATATATTACTGATACAGAAGCGAACTAGCAAGAAAAATATCAGATGTGCAGCCACAAAACAGATCCGCACTAAACAGCAACCCCTCCTACTTCCGCCCAACACTGGCTGCAGAATACCTCATCAAGGGTTGTGCCCATCCCTTGGGCTGGCTGGCCAACCCAACCCTTGGGTTGTGCTCATAGTCGAAGCATGCCCCAGCTGCTTCGACTATGTTTATTCAACTAGATCTTTTCAGCTAGATATCCTGCATAGGGCACGTACCATGTAGCTGCATATACAGCGTATATTCAGCTACATTTGTTGATTGACTCCGGCAATGCAATGAGGTGCAGGAATCATGTGAGTGCACTGTACGTGAGCTTAGACTACACCTTATCACCAATACCTTCTGAGGTGAATCACAAGTGGCATGGGGTGCAGGAAGCATGTACGAGCACCGCTTGTAAGCTTAGTCTACACCTTATTAGTAACACCTGGCTGGTAACCAACATTGGCGGCCTGGGCAGGCTTGTAATGGTCTCCAGCAGTGTATGCGCCCATGGCTGGATATCCTGCTGCTTCAGTGGAGGGGGGATATTCCAATTCAATGGCTGGAGCAAGGCAGACAGAAAACAAAGGTGGAATAACAAACATGAATGGAAGCGTGTAAATAAGAGCACGAAGGAGAAAGCGGATTGGTGGAGCAAAGTATGGGGAGCTGAAGGGAGGAGGCTAGATTGATCGTACGATGCATCCATTGTTCTGAAGCTATTTTGAGGGTATCTACCGATGACTTCGCGCACTTGTTTTCCAAATCTGAAACACCTTAGGTGGGCAGGTACAAAAAAGGGTAATGGGACGTCATGGTAATCAAAGGAAAGGAAGGTAGGGAGGGGGAGGGGGCCAAAGTGCTTACCCAGAAATAGGGAGATTTGCAATGCATTTTTTTAAGATCAGCTCACCTTCTGTCTTCTTGCAACACTGAATAATGATGAACACGATAGCAACGGCGCCAATGACCACCAGAATCACCCCCACTACAATCCCCACGATTGCTCCAGTGGACATGCCAGAGGAGGAAGAAGAGGCTGTGCTGTTGGCATTGGAGGAGCTCTGCACACTGTTGTCGATGAAGTTGTTGGTGCTGCTGCCCGGGGTTGTGGGGTTGGTTGGGTTAGAGGTCCCATTGCCGGGAGGAGGAGTGGAAGGAGGGGAGAAAGAAGGAGGCGCAATGGAGGGGGGTGTGTACGGAGGCTCATAATCGTCGATTGGGGGGGATTCGGAAGATGGTGCAGCAAAAGAAGGTGCAGCAGAAGATGGTGCGACAGAAGAGGGTTCAGCAGTAGATGGTGCAGCCGAAGAGGGTGCTGCGGAAGAGGGTGCTGCACACAAAGCCCACAAGAAGAGGGGGGAATATTCCCATTAGACAGAATTCTCAAACATACGGCCATTTGGATTTTCAGCATGAAGCAGCTCAGATTGAAACACGAGTTTCCAACATACGGCCATTCGATCCATGCAATGTAGTTGTAACACAGGCGATTACATATGTTGATAGGCCTGTTCCAGCTCTCCCTAGGCTGAAGCATATCTTACGTGGTCATATCAACTTTGCATGAAACGGGGCGTTAAATATTACATCGTAGGAGTGACAGCAAGACAGCTCACCTGCAGGAGGAGGGATGCAGGACTGGCAGAAGGAGTGGCAGGCAATGCAGAACTGGCTTTCCAGCGACTGCTCCACTACGCAGTCAGTGCTGTTGGGGCACAGCACTGTGAAGTCATACTCCCTGGTGGAGCATGTGGGGCGGGAGGCAGAAGGGGGGAGGTGTGTGAAGCAACAGTTAACCTGAAGAGGGCTGGTTGTGGAGCAGTGCAAAAGTGACTCTTTATTGACTGCTCCACCACACAGTTGATTTTTGAGTCGACTCAAAAATCGATTTTTGAGTCGACTCAAAAATCGACTCACCACACAGTTCGTGCTGTTGGGACACATCACTGTGAAGTCACACTCCCTGGTGGGGCACGTGGTGGGGCACGTGGTGGGGCACGTGGTGGGGCACGTGGTGGGGCACGTGGTGGGGCACGTGGTGGGGCATGTGGTGGGGCATGAGGTGGGGCATGAGGTGGGGCATGTGGTGGGGCACGTGGTGGGGCACGTGGTGGGGCATGTGGTGGGGCACGTGGTGGGGCACGTGGTGGGGCATGTGGTGGGGCACGTGGTGGGGCACGTGGTGGGGCATGTGGTGGGGCATGTGGTGGGGCACGTGGTGGGTCATGTGGTGGGGCATGTGGTGGGGCATGAGGTGGGGCATGTGGTGGGGCATGTGGTGGGGCACGTGGTGGGGCATGTGGTGGGGCATGTGGTGGGGCATGAGGTGGGGCATGTGGTGGGGCATGTGGTGGGGCATGTGGTGGGGCATGTGGTGGGGCATGTGGTGGGGCATGTGGTGGGGCATGTGGTGGGGCATGTGGTGGTCATGTGGTGGGTAGGATGAGTGGAGAATATGGTTTCCATGTTAACGTATAATCTATGCAAGTACAATAACCGGAGTGAGATGGGTCAAATGGAGAGGCAGGGGGTGTAGGTGGCCTGAAAAAAAAAAAAAAAAAAAAAGGTTTTATTCAGATACTTCCCTTACAGAGAGCTGATAGAGTCCTGAAGTCCATTGCACCAAGAGCATGAGGCAGGTAGCCTGTAAGGAAGCTTCCCCTAGAATCAAGTGCACTGAGGAAGTGCCTTGCAGAGCACTGAGGCCAGTCAACCCCCTTCAGAACACTTACAGAGCACTTAAGGGGGCTACGCCAAGGGTGGGCGGCAGGTATCCTTTGAGGTAGTTTCCCTTGAAGCCACTGCGATGGCGTGCGGGTGGCATGTGGATGGCATGTAAATTCATGCGGCTGGAATTTGGATGCATGTGGTTGCCATATAAATGCATGTGTCTGGAATGTGGATGGCACAAGCACTCACTCGACTGTATGCACGCGTACGTTCGGTTTAGCCATGCGCTTGGTTCAGCCATATTCATGCATCCATCCAGCCATGTGCATGCATGCATGCATGTATACGCACAGGAACGTCAGAAGAGGGAGTTCCCCCAGAAAGGCAGGCACGGATCCCACCAAATTGTTGTATTTGAGATCTCTGTGGTTGACACATGTGATCGCACATGTGATTGTAGGGAAAGAACGGTTATGGAAGGTCACATCATATGAGTTGATGTAAGGTAAGGAGGGGGAGTTCCCCCAGAAAGGCAGGCACGGATCCCACCGGGTTGTTGTATTTGAGGTCTCTGTGGTTGGCATCCACGCACATGTGATATTGCAAGGAGGGACGGCCATGGGATTGCGAGGAAGGAGGGGGGCCCATGGGATTGCAGGGAGCGGACGGTCATGGCATGGACGGTCATGGCATGGACGGTCATGGCATGGACGGTCATGGCATGGACGGTCGTGGCATGGACGGTCATGGCATGGACGGTCGTGGCATGGACGGTCGTGGCATGGACGGTCGTGGCATGGACGGTCGTGGCATGGACGGTCGTGGCATGGACGGTCGTGGCATGGACGGTCGTGGCATGGACGGTCGTGGCATGGACGGTCGTGGCATGGACGGTCAGTGGCATGGACGGTCATGGCATGGACGGTCATGGCATGGACGGTCATGGCATGGACGGTCATGGCATGGACGGTCATGGCATGGACGGTCATGGCATGGACGGTCATGGCATGGACGGTCATGGCATGGACGGTCTTGGCATGGACGGTCGTGGCTATGGACGGTCATGGCATGGACAGTCATGGCATGGACGGTCATGGCATGGACGGTCGTGGCATGGAAGGTCATGGCATGGAGGGTCATGGCATGGAGGGTCATGGCATGGAGGGTCATGGCATGGAGGGTCATGGCATGGAGGGTCATGGCATGGAGGGTCATGGCATGGAGGGTCATGGCATGGAGGGTCATGGCATGGAGGGTCATGGCATGAGGGTCATGGCATGGAGGGTCATGGCATGGAGGGTCATGGCATGGAGGGTCATGGCATGGAGGGTCATGGCATGGAGGGTCATGGCATGGAGGGTCATGGCATGGACGGTCATGGCATGGAGGGTCATGGCATGTGTGTCGAGGGAAGAAGACATTCACGCCGAGACACGATGGGTGCACCTATCTAAAAACCCGTGGACCACTGCTATAAGCTTTTCAAAATAATCCATCAGTTATTAGTCATTTGTCACCGCTGGAGAATAGTCAATGGAATTAATTTGTGAATATCGCATAATATCAAAGCCAATGGGAAAAACGAGCCCAAAATAATAGATAACTCTAGAGACAGTGTGTGAATCTCACAGAATCTCAAGGCCAGTGAGGGCAGCGAGCTCAGAAGGAATTGAACCGTTGATCTTAGAGTTGTAGAAGCTTCTGATGCCGGAAACCATGCCATCAACAAGGGACGCAGGTGGTTGCAGATGGATGCATATGGGTACATATGGGTGCATATGGGTGAGGAATCCCCATGATTTTGCCACGTTTGAAGCTCTCTACAAGAGATTCCAAGCCCATGCGTGCATTCATGATTTGAAAAAGGCATGGGGAGGGGCACGCATACGGGTTTGAACAGGCATGCATTGTAAAAGGGGGGGAAGGAAAGAGGAGACTGCTAGGTGGCACTTGCTCCCTGGAGGCGCGCCTCTTCACAGATTGGTCCTCATGGTCCTGAGGCGAGTTTTGCGGCGAGAGGCCATGCAGCACTATCTCTTCACAAAATAGTACTCAGCCCTGAGGCGAGAGGCCATGCAGTTGCCTGCGATAAGGCTTACAACCCAACGAGGTTGGTGAGAGAAGAGATGGTGCTGGGTTCCTGAGGTGCCTCAATAGTGTTCCTTGAGAGGGAATGAGCGAGAGCTTGCAAGAAGGCTTACTGTTTTGAGTTGACTCAAAAGAAAGGGCCTTGCAAAAGGCTCACAGCTCTACGAGGTTGGTGAGACGAGAGATGGTGCTGGGGATGGTGTTGCCCGTGCGGTTGTTGCTTTTCAAATCACTGGTCCGGAGTGAGAGGATGGGGGAGTTCAGAGAAATTAGGAGAACATGTGTGCTTATATTTGCGTGCGTGCTTGAATGCATGCAGCATAACAATGAATGCCACACACCATCACATGCAGCATAACAGCCAATGCAGCACACCATCACATGCAGCACACCATCATATAAATTTCAGCCTTCCCTCGATCTGCACGGCTACTTACCGACCCGAAGGCTAACAACTGCTTACGAGACCAAGGGGGTAACAACTGCTTACAAGACCAAGGGGGTAACAACTGCTTACAAGACCAAGGGGGTAACAAGTGCTTACAAGACGCGAAGGCTCGTTATGTTCCCGATGCCATCAGTGAGCGGGCCAATTGCATTGCCGGACAGCCATCTGCATGGTGTGTGGTTGGCACAAGGTGTTTTGATTCTCAGAAACAGCTTTTCTACAGCCGAAAGAGTTTTCAAGGTCGTTTTCATGAGCTCAAGAGCTTTGAAGGCAGATTGCTTGCAGCTCAGTGAGGTTTCTGAGATTGGCTAAAGATTTGGGGATGGACCCAGCGAGCTTTTGAATCTCCAGGTGGAACCAGTAAGTTGCTTACAGCTCAGTGGTTGGCGCGAGGGGTGCGTAAAAAGCAGAGTGCTTACAGCCCAGTGAGATTGTGCAGATTGGATAAAGAGTCTGGGATGGACCCAGTGAGCTTGTAGTCCACTCCATCCCCAGATATGTCCCTGGATCACAGGAGACATGATAAGGGTAATGAATATTTAGGCACCTTAATATTTGTCCACTCATCCCAAAATATGCCTCTTGGTCTAAGGAGATAACATAAGGGTGATGATATTGTAGGCGCCTCGGGATTGTAGTCTAATCCAGTCCCAAATATGCCCCTGGTTTTTAAGAAGATAAGGGTGATGAAGGCGCCTCGGGATTGTAGTTTAATCAATCCCTAAATATGTCCCTGGGTTTAAGGAGATAAAAAAGGGTGATGATTTTGTAGGCGCCTTGGGATTGTAGTCGAATCCATTTCCAAATGTGTCCATGGCTTGAAGGAGAAGGAGGAAGGGGAAAAGTCTTGCATTTGGAAATGAAGGAATGTGAGGAAGGAGGGAAGGGCAAGGTAGCAGGGTACTTCCAACATGATAGAAGCTACTTTTGGCATGGGTACTTTTGGCATGAGAGGGCCCAAAGCTACTGCAGGCTTGATACAAGCTCACAGGTACTGCAGGCTTGACATGTTGCCAAAGGACTCGGGAATACTCCCATTCTCCACTCCCCCAATCTTCCTGTGGGAATTGTGGCATGGTGGGTGGGGAATGCCATGGTAAGTAGGAATAGTGCGCATGAAAGGGCAGTGAGAATGCACTGGCAGCGAAGATAGAAGAGCGACGATCGTGACAGAGCGGCAATCATAAGTGGTGGGAGTACCTTGGTAGTGAGCATGCACGCGAAGCAACAGGAGAAATACATGTATGAGACACATGCAGGAGGGCAAGATAGACAGAGCAGAAGACTAGAGAACAGAACAGAACGGAAACCTACAGCCCTTGCAGGTTGACAAGTCTGCCTAAGCCAGCAGGGAGACTGCCTCCAATACTGAAGGAGCTAAGTTCCCTGCCATCAACGAAGACAAGCATTTCGGTCCCCAGTTTCTCACAAGTCCATCATTTGGAACAACAATCTAATTAATCCACTTTTTTATTGCACAAGTCCATCATTTACAGAACCAAGTTGCCTATATAACTCTGTTTTAATATCTCTCTTTCTTCCCTTTTTTAAATTCCCTATCCCTGTTGCTGCCTCTCGTGGTCTCCCTCTCACCCTTCTCGTCCCCCCTCCCTCTCACCCTCTCTCATCCTCCGTACATCCTTGTCGTCTATACATCTCAACCATTTTGCATCCCCTCTCCCTCTCACCGCCTCTCTTCCTCTCCCCCAGTCACCCATTTTCATCCTCTATCTACACCTTCTCATCATCTCTCCCTATCACCCCCTCACCTCGTATTTTCCTCTTTCCTCCTCTCATCATCCTTCCCTCTAAACCTCTAAAATTGCATCCCCCTGTCACCCTCTCTCATCATTTCTATTTATCAACCCCTTTCATCATCTCTCCCTCGTTACCTCCTCTGATCCTCTCTCCCTCTCACCCACTCGCATTTCCTCCTTACAGCTTTGTGAGCCGAGATAGGCCACTAATGGCGTTCGGAATGGTGGAGAAGTGTGTGTAGAGTGTTGTGGGCCTGTGTTGGGAAGTGTGTGGAGTGGGAAGAGAGTAACAGGAGAGGTTAAGGAGTGAGGGGAGCGGAGGGGCAAGGGAGAGAAAGGGCGAGTAAGACCCTTCATCTCACAAACGAAAGAATGAGCCTGCTTGTCACAAACTCCAGAGAGTAATCGTGGTCGATGTTCTTCCGCTGTTCCCAGACGCAGACTGAATCGTGTCAAGTTTGAGCAAGTCATTGTTCTTGGTGGTGTACTGCAGAAAACGGAATGCCAAAATACAGACACACAGGCACAGGCACAGACACAGGCGCGTGCACGCACGCACGCACACACACACACACACACACACACACACACACGCACGCACACACACACACACACACATAAAAACAAGCACCTTCGCTAGTAATGCTTTTTGCAACCTACGCAGGACATAAACACCTCCAGTGGAGGAAGTGCACTGCAGGTACTGGAAGGGGACGAGCAGCTTTGCAGTACAAGAGAACATGATGTTTTTTCTCTTTTTGGTTTTATTACTAATAGTATGTTGTGAATCAGTAAGCTGCGAATACGTACTCTATGGAGATGATGTATCCGTCCGCATCGCAAGCCTTGAAGACCTGATACTCTTGGCTTGACAAGCAGTCCCTGTCCAGAATCAGGCTCATACCCCATGCCTTCTCCAGTGCCTTCAACGCTGGGACTGGTTGGGGGGGGGTGTTTCAGGCAGGGCAGTGAGGGAGCTTTTGAGAAGTCGTAGCATTCATCCGCATCGCACGTGCTCCTGGTTTCACGCGCAGTCCAGAACCAAGCACGGCTTCTATGCCAGGATTGGTTGAGTGGGTCTTTTGAGGCAGGACAGTGGGGGAAGGTGGGAAAGGGACGATGCTTGGTTGGGTTGCCTTAGGAAAGACAAGTCATGTTGTGCATGTGTTGGGAGAAATGAGGAGGAGCGGTGCGAGGGCTGGGGAGAATCTCACAGGAAAATAAGTAAAAAGGTGCATTGAATGGGTTGAGAAATGTGACATAAATATGAGAAATACACGGAGGTGAAGAAGGGGGAGTCATCCCACAGGATAAAAGACAAAACAGGCTCTATTCAAATACAATGATAATGTCTGTGACTACATCTTTCAAAGTATTTAGTACATTAATCTCGCATGTGGATCCGAATGCCTGAAACCAACTCACTCTGTGAATTAACTATGAACGGCAGTGCTGTTACAAGCCCGGCCTGGAGCAGGAGGGAGAGGAGGAGGAGACGAATCGTGTCTGACATGGCCATCATCTCAGCTGTGTTCACGGCGTGAACGAATTTCGGTGCAGAAGTATAAGCCGCGTTGTTGGACGGGTGAGCTATGATTCAGGCGATATGCTATGATTATTTTTCTTAGGCAAGGGCGAGTAGAATAAGGACTACTAGGCTGCGTTGAAGATTTCAAGAAAGTGCTGCTGTGGAAATCGGAAGGTGAGGAGTTTAGCCAACCCAAGATTCAAGAACACATATGCTGGGGTGGGGGGAGGGATGTGAAAAACGTGCTGATGCGCGCTTCGTAGTGTTGGTGTTAGCGGTGGCCATAAGAAATTCCACAAGGTCGAAACTAAGACTGTATTCCCAAGTTGGGACACCATCGAAGTTCCCCCACCGCAAGCACTTTTTGGGGGTGGATGGTGTCCGTGTGGAGTGGGGCCCCAGTTTGGACATGTAACTAGATTAGGCGTGCGACCAGGCTCGTCAGAATCGCCTGACGGTTATTGGATCAGACTGGTTTCGTGCCCAATCAGAGCGCGAAATCAATAAACGGCCAAATCTATTCGAGCGACCTAGGAAAAACATTCAGCATGGGCTCATTGGTTGCTGTGGGCTGAATTTGCAAGGTTCGTGACGGTCACGATTGTAAGTTGAAGTCGTTGGATTTGATCCCTAAACTCCCCAAACGTCCACGTCGCATTTTGACCCGCGAATCATTCGCACAACAGCTGACCGGCATGCTCCTTGGTGTCCAGACTTTGAACCGCGTAGGGAAACATTGAAATGTCACTTTGACGTTTCTAGTCGCGTGGGGGAACTTTGGATGGTGTCCCAACTTTGGAATACAACATGATGAGGCATTTGCGATACGGAACAAATATTTCGCATGAGCAGAAAAAGAAACGATGACGTGGCGTTTCACCCTTTCAGTTTTTGTCTGTTTTGTCTTGCTGGGCAGTCAACGACTCCTGGGAGCACCCCAATGGTACCTCAACGCGGTCCTGTCAGTCAAGGATTAGTGAACACATGCTGCCACATCATCATCCCCGATTCATATCCTTGATTTAAGTTTCTTCTTTAGCGAGGCACACTGTACATGGCTCAAACATCTGGAGACTCAAAGGCCAATGTCTCGTTATATTGGAGAAAAAATACGATACCAACAGAGGAATGCGACAGCTTACGCCTCTACGTCCCGATTCACGAGAGGCTCGTTGGCTTCGCTCCCCAATAATGTCGCTTCAGCAATTCCAGCAATGCAGTTTTCGCACCCCCTCGCTATTCTCTCGCCAATAGGCACCGCTGGATTTTCCCGTTTCCATAAATCCCGGCGGCAATCCATTTTCTGAGACGCCAAACCATTCTGATGTCCCACATTTTTGGGAATCCTGTCTCCCCCTTTCGAGCTGGAACGAGAACACCTCGGTGATAGCGGACTTCTATAATATAAGGGCGCATTCCTGGCTGGTGGCAGGGCAACTGTTCACATCGAGTTGGTGGCAAGTGTACCCAAAAATTCAGTGGGCCGGAAAATGCGCCTGCCACCAGCAGTGCGATGAACAGTTGCCCCGCCACCAACCAGGAATGCACCCGAAGAGTCACATCTTTGGGCAGAAACACCTTGCGATTGATAGTGATTTTCGTTTCTTTGAGTCTAGGGCAAGTGCATTTCGCACTTAGCAACCCATTCCATCGCAATCACGCGGGTGGTCGTTATGGAGCTCTCTCATATCGCCCACTCCGCGCAGTCGCTGGGCTTACCGGGTCTTCTCGTCGCGCTCGTGCTGATCATGGTTGTCGCTTCCTGGCTAGGCGCGTCGCAAGGTGCGAAACTAACCCCGCAGGGAGAGATACGAGCCTCGCAAAGTGAGCGAGGAACGTCGCAAGCTGTGAAGTGGAGGTCGCAAAGCTAGAATTAATGTCGCAAGGGTTGAAACAAATTTGCAGGGCATGAAATGAGGCGACGATTGGCGACCCATCGTCGTGCGGCATAAGAGCCCGACGGATCACGTGATTGACGCCTCGGAACCCGACCATAGGCTCGGAAACGGTGGAATGGGGTGGGGTGGGACGGAGGATGGTCCTCAACGGTTATGTCAATCACCGGGGGGTCTTCACGCCGGTGAGTGAAGCGTGAGGGGGTCACAGAGTGAGGGGGTCACAGAGTGAGGGGGTCACAGAGTGAGGGGGTCACAGAGTGCGGGGGTCACAGAGTGCGGGGGTCACAGAGTGCGGGGGTCACAGAGTGTGGGGATCACAGAGCGCGGGGGTAAATGGCAAGGGGCGAAGGGCAAAGGGCGCAGAGCGAATGATGCTGAAATACGACTAAGTGACTGACAGCGAATCAATCGCATCCGCAGGATGCGACTGACGTGCACAACACGCATGAAATGCATGGCGACCGGTGGTCGTGGTCGGAGAATGTGCAGTGCGCGATGCAAGCTGGGCTGCCCGCAGCAGTGCGTTATGCAGGAACTAGTCGGAGACATGCATACAGCAGGTCGTAGCAGTGCACTCTGTAACGCGGATGACATGCCGCTGCTAGGCAGCTATCTTGCGAGAGTTGAAAGGGCGGAGTAGGTGGTGCACTGCACACACAGCATCGCGTCGACACTAGGAAACCGCGTTACAGCATCGCGTCGACACTAGGAAACCGCGTTACAGCATCGCGTCAATCACCGAGGGGTCTTCACGCCGGTGAGTGAAGCGTGAGGGGGTCACAGAGTGAGGGGGTCACAGAGTGAGGGGGTCACAGAGTGAGGGGGTCACAGAGTGCGGGGGTCACAGAGTGCGGGGGTCACAGAGTGCGGGGGTCACAGAGTGTGGGGATCACAGAGCGCGGGGGTAAATGGCAAGGGGCGAAGGGCAAAGGGCGCAGAGCGAATGATGCTGAAATACGACTAAGTGACTGACAGCGAATCAATCGCATCCGCAGGATGCGACTGACGTGCACAACACGCATGAAATGCATGGCGACCGGTGGTCGTGGTCGGAGAATGTGCAGTGCGCGATGCAAGCTGGGCTGCCCGCAGCAGTGCGTTATGCAGGAACTAGTCGGAGACATGCATACAGCAGGTCGTAGCAGTGCACTCTGTAACGCGGATGACATGCCGCTGCTAGGCAGCTATCTTGCGAGAGTTGAAAGGGCGGAGTAGGTGGTGCACTGCACACACAGCATCGCGTCGACACTAGGAAACCGCGTTACAGCATCGCGTCGACACTAGGAAACCGCGTTACAGCATCGCGTCGACACTAGGACACAACCTTACTGCGTAAGTCCCAACAGAGGATAACAGCACTGCCACACAGCATTCCGTCATTCGAACAGGATCAAACAGCAGCACAGCACTACGACACAGCAGCAGGCCACTCCAATGCAGTGATTCTAACTCTAACCTTGCCAACACAGCAATGCTGCGTGTGCACCACCTACTCTAAAACACCAACATTCCCCACTCCTCTTTCTGGGATTGTTGTCTTGACACTCACCCCGATGCATGCGCGTGTTCCTCACCTCCCTGGTTCATCCTCCCACGCCTCGCCCCTCTGCAACACCCCACACACGCCACCTCCGTCTCATCCCTCCGTGCACGATAGCTGTCCACAGCCCCTGCACCTCTATCACGTCTGTGTGTATGCCTTCTGTACCCTCAACCATAATGTTTTTGCCTTCTGTGCGTGTATGTGTCTTTGTGTGTGTGTGTGTGTGTGTGTGTGTGTGTGTGTGTGTGTGTCTGTGCGTGTGTGTGTGTGTGTGTGTGTGTGTGTGTGTGTGTGTGTGTGTGTGTGTGTGTGTGTGTGTGTGTGTGTGCGTTTCTGGGTATGTTCGTGTGCGCAATTGTCCCTGTGCCTGCATGCATGTCTCTCCTCGTGCATGTTGCTGTCTCTGTTTACGCCTCCGGGCAATGCTGGTACATTTACCCTCACAAAATCAGGAAAGAAGAGCAGCACGCAACAAGATAATCCACCTGTAAGTCAGTGCATTTCAGCTCCTAGAGTCTGCTTGTTCGCATCTCCGCACATCGCCCACTTCTTCATGCCCCCTCCACCTCACTCCTCCCATCAAACCATCTTCCCATCTTTTGCTCGTTTCTCTGCTCTTTCAAAAGCATCTGCCTTTTCTTCTGCCCTTTCTCCTACCTGTTCATCTGCCCGGTTTTTCCGTCATTGTATATCGACATTTTCATTTAAATGACAGGCTGCCAAGGAAACCAAGGTGTACAGCAAGGAGGAGGTAGCGAGGCACAACAAGAGGGACGACTGCTGGGTCATCATTAAGAACAAGGTGCCTCACATGCCACCTCCTCTTTTTATACTTCACTCAAAACCCTCCGCCTCTGTTTTTTATTAACTCAATAGTCAGCAAGAGGGATGACTGCTGGGTCATAATCTAAAACGTTTTATCAGGAAAACCTTTAAAACACAATGTTCCTCCACGTCTGGCGTATCAAGTCATATCACGACATCACGCTTCAATCTGAAGTGATGTAATCCAGAAACTAGATGCCTCATCAGCTTCCTCCTCCTCTCTTTTCACTTGACTCAAAGAGTCCTCTCTTTTAAGTCAACTCGTTGGTCAAAGAGAGGGACGACTGCTGGGTCATACACAAAAACACAAACAAGGTGCCAGACATGACTCCTGCCACTCCTCCTCCTCCTCCTCCTCCTCCTCCTCCTCCTCCTCCTCCTCCTCCTCCTCCTCCTCCTCCTCCTCCTCCTCCTCCTCCTCCTTCCGCCCCCCCCCCCAATGATCCTCCACTTCTCCGCATCATCTATGATGAGGCAGGCAGTGGGTCCCGCCTGTCACCAAAATTTCATCACAGGGTTAAAGGAACCAGTAGGCGGAGACATCACAGGGTTAAAGGAACCAGTAGGCGGAGACATCACAGGGTTAAAGGAACCAGTAGGCGGAGACATCACAGGGTTAAAGGAACCAGTAGGCGGAGACATCACAGGGTTAAAGGAACCAGTAGGCGGAGACATCACAGGGTTAAAGGAACCAGTAGGCGGAGACATCACAGGGTTAAAGGAACCAGTAGGCGGAGACATCACAGGGTTAAAGGAACCAGTAGGCGGAGACATCACAGGGTTAAAGGAACCAGTAGGCGGAGACATCACAGGGTTAAAGGAACCAGTAGGCGGAGACATCACAGGGTTAAAGGAACCAGTAGGCGGAGACATCACAGGGTTAAAGGAACCAGTAGGCGGAGACATCACAGGGTTAAAGGAACCAGTAGGCGGAGACATCACAGGGTTAAAGGAACCAGTAGGCGGAGACATCACAGGGTTAAAGGAACCAGTAGGCGGAGACATCACAGGGTTAAAGGAACCAGTAGGCGGAGACATCACAGGGTTAAAGGAACCAGTAGGCGGAGACATCACAGGGTTAAAGGAACCAGTAGGCGGAGACATCACAGGGTTAAAGGAACCAGTAGGCGGAGACATCACAGGGTTAAAGGAACCAGTAGGCGGAGACATCACAGGGTTAAAGGAACCAGTAGGCGGAGACATCACAGGGTTAAAGGAACCAGTAGGCGGAGACATCACAGGGTTAAAGGAACCAGTAGGCGGAGACATCACAGGGTTAAAGGAACCAGTAGGCGGAGACATCACAGGGTTAAAGGAACCAGTAGGCGGAGACATCACAGGGTTAAAGGAACCAGTAGGCGGAGACATCACAGGGTTAAAGGAACCAGTAGGCGGAGACATCACAGGGTTAAAGGAACCAGTAGGCGGAGACATCACAGAGCATCCCCTGTGTGGTCTCTGTGCTGCCTCCCGATCTCCCAAATGCATGGCTCCTGGCTTCTCGTCCCATGCAGCATCCTCCTGCCAGTGTCTCCGCAGGTGTACAATATGACATTGTATGTGGATGAGCACCTGGGTGGCGATGCCATCCTCATCATTGTCACCACACCACCCAAGTGCACAACTCTTGTGCTTCTTGTCCCATGCGCGATCTCTCTCCCCGTAGTCCCTTCAGGCGTATGTTTTGACGTCATGTGTGGAGGAGCATCCTGGTTGCTTTTGAGGTGCTTCAAAAGCTGGTGGTGCACAGCTCTTGAGTTTCTTGTCTCCTGATGAATCTCTCTCTCCGTGGTCCCTGCAGGTGTACGATCTGACGTCGTATGTGGATGAGCACCCGGGTGGCGACGCCATTCTCAACAATGCAGGAGGGGACGCAACAGAAGGCTTCTATGGGTATGGGTGCTTCTTTTGGGTTTCCACATTTTAGAATTCAGAGCTAGTAAGGCAAGTATAAAAGTGCTAACAACGTGATTTGCTACCTCGTGTGCTATTGCTTTGTTGCAGGCCTCAACATGCATCCCGTGTGTTCGATCAAGTGGAAGAGTTCTATATGGGTGAACTTGCAACCAGTAGGTAGAATCATCATCGGCAACAAACGAAATAAAAACTATCATAGGATACTTCTTTAGTTAGCTACTTGCCATACGAGCAAATTCTGGTGAAGTCTCCCAAGTGGAAGATGAGCCGAAGCTCATCGTATCATTACAGTACAGTGCCATCCGCTTGCAAACTTTGAGTCGTTCGTGCATCTCATCTCACCTTGTTACAGGACGGTTTTTTATTTTCTGTGGCCTGAACCAGGGACTCCATCACACATCCTTCCACCTGGGAATTTTCGGATTTATATATCATCACCTCTTACATATTTTTGGGTTGCTTAGCAACCACCTACATTTGGTTTCGCTTTTCGTTTCCTTTTCCATTATTTACATGGAACCTTTTCCTCTGGTTGAGAAGTGTTCGGCCAATACCATAAAGTATTCCCGAGCGGATTCTCAGGTGTAATCACCAACAGAAACACAGTTTCGCGATATAGTAGTAGGTGTTTCTTGTTGTTTTCTGAATACAGTCACGGCAGAAAATGCAACACCTGAAAAAAAAAAACTTGTAGCGAACCTAGATGAATTTCGTGACAGATCAACCTCAACTACGGGAAGCCGCCCACTTCAGGAAAAATATATTGCACCGTCTTGACCCAAAAAAATAAAACCCAATCGAGAAGGGATGCGACTCGGGAGGCATCAACCCTAAAAACAATGCCCTTTACCGTGTTTAGGGTTGATCCCTCCCGCAAATGCGTCCAGATTCTATAGGGGTTTAATTTTTCTGCCCTGTCGTCAGTTTACGTACTTTTGTTTAACAGATCCAGGTCGGGAGGGTAAACTAGATATTTTTGTCACCTCCCAAACATTTCGACCAGCGTAAACAGTGTGACTAAAAAGCGACGACCAATCAACGTCGAGAAAGTACAAGTTGATTACACCTGAGAACCCGCTCGGGACTAATCTGGTATGTATGTAGTTGGCTGAGAAGTGTTCCTTCCTTATGTGACAGTTCATATACTTCACAAGTTGCACTTTCTATTTCCTGTGAGACAAGCCGTGGAACCGGAACAGTAATGCTCCCACTACAGTATTTGTGCAAAGAAGTTCTGGGTTCGACGAAGCGCAGGTATGACCTGAACGACGCCTTGTCGTTACATCACCCGTCGAGCGCATGTGCTACAGTAAATTTGTCCATCGAGCCGCAGTGGAGCTGCTATCTGTCTGCCACATCAGGCTACCCGACAAATCTGTTTGGTGCGTAGATTTCGCTCAAAGGGCAGACATACGCAGAAAGCCGGTCCTCCCTACAGCTGTCTGGGCTATTGCCAGAGTTCCCTATGATTCTTGAGGGACTATGGTATAATGTGTGAAATAGGATTCGTGACCAGAGAGTCAGGGGTTCGTATCTTAGCAACAATGTCAAATTTGTGATGTTTTTGCTCCCCTCGACAGTGCATCCTGCACCACGTAGAATAGGGGGGTCAGTCACGGGGAGTTGCTTGGTCCTTGAAAATGGGGCCAGCGTGAAGAGAGAGAGTTGGAGGTCGGAGAGGGATGTAATATTTCTAGCTCCCTTCCCTCCGTGTCACTACTGTGTGGATTTAGGGAATGTGCCTCGGTCAGCCCTAACAAATCCGCGTGGATAGTACGAAAGTGGGAAAACCTCGACATATTGTGTACACAAGAACTCAAAGGCGATTTCCTTGGTTTCAATTCGACACGTCTGGTCCTCGTTTCGGTACACTTGCACGCACACCCTCTGTTCCCCCCAACCCAAACTGCAACCCCTTCGCCACGGCGCGCAACTGAACGGAGCTGAATTTTCTCCTGCCCTTCCCCAGCCCTGCCCAATCTCGTCTCCGACGAACAGATGCAGTGTTTTTCGCCTTGAATGAGGGCTCGAATTTCCATCTCCTCCATCTCCTGTGATCTCTCTTGTAGTCTTGCTCACTCTACGATTACCAGCAACACCAACGCCACCAACACTAGCAACGACGCCAACACCAACACAAACACCCGTCCTTGAACGCTTCACCCAAGCTTCTCTCGCAACAAACCTAACGTGGGCATCAGAGTCAGCTTATCAGCGAGAATATTAAGTGGTGATCATATATCCGATGGACCTTAGTCCCACATAGTTGTAAAGTCAATCCAGTGCACCTTCAGTATCACATATCCGTTACCATCGCATCACGCCGAGGCGGTCCCGCGAGCCATGGCTCGATCGCGGCACTGTACGAATCAAGCGCAGCTACGACGATGCTGCATCGCACTCGTTCTATGTACGCGTTTGTAGCCAGAACTTCCCTAGAGCCGACTCGCTATAGAACCTCTGTGCATCTTTCTCACTTCCGAGCTTATGTTTCTTTCTTTCAACGAAATGTCTCCCGCCGAGTGCCGTCTCGAGTTGAAGTCTATTTTGAGCAAAAGCAGCGTAATGAGGTTCGGGAGTTGCCTAGCCGGGAAACGTCGCCACGTCGCGTGCGTCGCCTCAGTCGCCACTCTCTTCGCGCCTTTGTCCGCTCTGCACGTCCGTTCACTTCCCTCACCACCCACCTCACATCCTCTCACCATTCTCTCATTCCCCCATCCCCCATCACCCATCGTCAATAACCCTCCCCGACCCTCTTTTTCCCATTTCCCCCGTCCCCCCAACGCCTTCCGCACCATCTCCCCCCCTTTTCTTTCCCCTTCTCTTTCCCCCTCCTCCTCTCCCCCGGTCCCACTTCTCCGCGTTCCCCGTACCTCTCCAGCGGTTCTCGCGCTCGCGCGTTCCCCCGCGGCGGAGGGCAGGCCCAACAACAAGAACAAGAGAAACGAGAACGCGGGCCTTGGTGAGCGACACAGCGTGGTTACCACCTTAGACGAAAGCCATTGGTGAAGACCACATTCGGAGGCGAAGGCGATAGGCAAAGGCCAGGGCAAAGTTCATAGGAGGTCATAGGCGAAATGCATTGGCGAAGACCACAGGCGAAAGCTACAGGCGAAGGGCAAAGTGGAAGACCGTTGGCGAAGGCTGTAAGAAAAGAGCAAACGGCGAGCGTGCGGGCAAGAAAAAGAGGAAAGCAGCCAACACAGTGAGCATGCGACGATCAGCGATGAGCGACTAACTTTCGCCGAACTCGGGCTTGCCGACGACTTCGGAGTTGACTTAACATGGGCGATAGTACGCGATAAGACGACAAATAGTATCGAACTGCGGAGATTAAGGGTGATGGGCGACAAGCGAAGAGTTGCGAACAGTTGCGGTAGAGTGGCAGTAAATTGCAGCGAACAGTTTGGTTACACGGTTACACAGATACAACACGCGCTCGCTCGTCGACCTCGCACGTGCGCGAGTGCTTGTCCGTGCATCTACCAACGTGCACGCCGCGAGTGTATCACAGAGATCTACTGGCCACCACCCACCTCCCGCTCTTACTCTCTCCACTTGCCCCCCTCCACCTCCCCCTCCTTCCTCCTCTCCCCCCCTTCCCCCTCCCTCCCCTCTCTTCCACCCCCCTCTCCCTTCTCCTCCTCTTCTCCTCCCCCTCCGCCCATGTCCCCCTCCGCCCATGTCCCCTTCCGCCCATGTCCCCCGCCAGCCTACTATTCCGCCATGGCGCGCGGGACGTCGACTAAGAGTATAGCGGCTATTGCTGTAGCGGAGAGGTGAGGGCATTACCTGGGCCTTCTTTTCCCCGCTTTCTCGCCTCCGCATGTTCTTCGTTCACCATTTCACACCCCTCCAGACCCACCCGCACTCCCTCCCCCTCCTTTCCTCCTCTCCTCCTCTATCTCCTCCCGCTGGGTACCGCATTTACCTCCTCACAACCTTTTCTCCTTCTGTGCATCCTTCCACGTTGCACCATTACTATCACGACACAACCTCTCCACTCTCTCTGCCGCTCATGCCCCTTCTCTTTCCTCCTCGCCCCACTTCGTCCCTCCCTACCCTCCCCTACACTTTTCCCCACACACATCTTCCACCCTTCCCCACCCGGCCCTTCTACCCCTCCGCCCTTCTCCCTTCCCCACCCGGCCCTTCTACCCCTCCGCCCTTCTCCCTTCCCTCCCCCTCTTCGGTCCCCCCCAACGCTCCCCCGCCGCGCACCAGCATTCAGTTCCAGCTGACGGTGGGCGGCTCGTGGAATCCCCCTTACAACGTGACTCTCTATCGCAACCCCTCCATGCTGCCGTCCGCGCCGGCCGGCAAGGACACCGCCGTCGAGCTGCAGACGCTGGCTGGGAATGGAGGTACGGTGGGGAGGTTCGGGAGGGAGGTTCGGGAGGGAGGTAGGGCAGGGAGGTAGGGCAGGGAGGTAGGGCAGGGAGGTATGGCAGGGAGGTATGGCAGGGAGCGGAGGTACGGCAGAGAGCCTCACTGGTGGTCTGTGCTAACTGCTCCCCCTCTCTCCTCCCGTCCCTTCTCCCTCTTCGTTCCCCCTCTCCTTTCCCTTCCTCGTTTCTCTCCCTCATATGTTATCCTCTTCGTTCTGTTCCCTCCACACACCCCCCCCCCCCCCCCCCCCCCCCCCCCCGCGCCCCCTCTCCCTATTCCCTTTCCGACACTCCCTTCAGTGGTCCTGTCACTGCTACCATTGCTGCCACTGCTACCATTGCTGCCACTGCTACCATTGCTGCCACTGCTGTCACTGCTACCATTGCTGCCACTGCTGCGGTACCTCTACGCGTTTGCCCCAAACTTACCCCTCCCACAACCCCCCCTTCCCTCAATACCCCCCCACCCCCGCGCCCCTCCCAATCCCCCTCCACGTGCCACTTGCGCGCCCCTTTTCACTCCCACCAGGTACAGAGTGGTTGAAAGTGGTTCCAACGGTTTGGGAAACCTACGGCTCGGTTCTCTTCCAGGACGGCACGGACACGATGTCCAAGGAGTTGGCGCCAGGTGGCAGGCCGCAATTGGTGGGCGAGTACACGGTGGAAACGGTGTCGCCCCCGGGATACTCGGACGAGCCACCCAAGCTGGCTGTGGCAAGTTTGGAGAGAGGCAACGCTAGGAAATTCGGTGAGTGGAGGGTGGTTGGGTGGGTGGGGAGGGGTGGGTTTGGTGGAAGAGGGTGGTTTGGTGGGTGGAGGACGGTTTGGTGGAAGAGTGTTGGGTGTGGCAAGGGCATGGAGTCATTCCATTGGAATGCTCACTGCAACTGCACCCCCTCTGTACTTCCACACTCTGGCCCCCTCCATCTTTCTTCTCCCCCCGTCCGCACTCCTTCCCACTGTCCCTGCCTTTCCCCTCTTCCCACAATGCCCTCCGCTTTCCCCTTTCCTTTTTGTTTTTTCACATAAAGGAAGGAGCCAAAGCATGGCCCAAGTCAACCCCCCCTGTTATCGTTCCCTCCTTCCTCACAGGCAACCCGGTCTCCTCATCACCCCTTTGGGGAGTCCTCTCTTCGGCGCAATGACACGCGGCGCTTATGTCACTTTTGAGAATTCTCAAGAGTGCGCTCGTGGATGCAATGACTGGCGGCGCTTTTTGAGTTTCGACACGTCTCAAGCGCGCTACACCCCTTCTTCCCGTCCCCCTCCACCCTCCAGGCAACCCCGGTGTCTTTGCTGCCCCTTTGGAAAGCCCTCTCTTCAGCGCTGCGCTCGTGGATGCCATGACAGGCGGCGCTTATCTGCACATCGCCTTTGAGTGAGTGCCCTGTGCAAGCAAGCTGTTATATACGGCTGTAACAGCTTGTAACAGCTGATGTAATGTACAGCCATACATTTACACTCATTCGCGTGCATTCAGCTCAGTTGCCGACTTCCTCCTGTTAAAGCCGCCCATTTGTCCCCTCAACAACTATTCGCGTCTGCACGCCACAACAATTCCTCCTATGTGATGGCTCTAGTGCACCCACAGCATCCCCTCCCCACCCCTCTGCTTTTACTTGCCACCAGTGCTGCTTCCATCTATTCACACCCATCTGCCCACTTACCCCCCCACCCACGCACTTACCCCCCCACCCACGCACCCCCCCACCCATCCACCCTCCCACCCACCCACCCTCCCAACCCACCCATTTCCCCCCCAACCCCACCCCACCCTTCACAACCCTTGGAGTCCAACCTGTCCTACGTGGCTTGTACTCACCACTATGTTATTCACAACAACCCCCTTCCCCCCCTTCGCCTCCCCTTCGCCCTCCCCACCTCCCACTCTTCTCCTTCCCCACCCCGCCCTCAGAGCCTCCCAATACAACCTCTCCCACGTGGTGGCAATAGTCGACCCTCAAGGGGACCCTCTCTTTGCTGCATGCACTCACCGCCGCTATTCCTTCACCCCACTCCCACCCCTCCCACCGCCACCAGAGCCTCTCAATACAACCTCTCTTATGTCGTCGCAATAGTCGACCCAGAGGAGGACCCAGTCTCCCCGCTGCTCCGCATTTACAACGACACCCACGCCATGCCGGCCCTGCCGCTGCACTGCGCCCGCTCGCGCTGGGCCAACCCGCGCATGGGGCTCTTCACGTGCGCGGGCTACCTCACTGTTGACGCCGCTGCTGGCCTGCAGTACCCCCCCGGTGCCGGGGAGGTGGGCTCTGATGTTGGCGGGGGTGGGGCGGAGAAGAAGGGGGGTAAGGGGAAAAATAAGTTTCTTCCGGGGGTGATTGGTGGGAGTGGTGGTGGGGGTGGTGGAGGGGGGGGTGTGGCAGGGGCGTTAGGTGGTGCGTTTGCTGCCATTGGGAAGAAGTTGGGGGGAAAGAAGGGAGGGAAGAAGGGAGGAACTGCAGGCAAGAACCATCCACAGTCACTGTCTGCAGGAGCATCCTCATCCTCCATAAAGACCGCCTCGTTAAGCAACACTGCAGGTGTAGCCCAGCCGAACCAAATCGATGGCACACCACTCTCAAGTAAACTCAAGGACAGAGCAGAAACAGCAGCCCTATCCCTCCAAACTCTGGGCCGGAAAGGTGGGAAGAAGGGCGGCAAGGGTGGCAAGGGAGCAAAAACCGGTGGGGACAGCAGCAGCAGCGGCGGAAAAAAGACAAAAGGAGCCGACCCAGCAGCAGATGCCGGCGGTGCTGGCGGGGATACCGGGGGAGCAGATGCTGGGGGTGCTGGGGGTGGCTCGGGCAGCAATGGAGCGGGGGCAGTGGATGAGGAAGGGCGGGCAGAGATGCCGTACATGGAAGCCATGGCGAGCCTGCTGGCATACAGCTCTGACGGTGGTGATGGCTCCACGTCCTTTGAGCTCTCTGTGTTCGGTGCATCCCGCATGGTGGGGTCGTCCAGTAGCCTCGAGCTTACTGCCAACACGTTCTGATGCGGTGGAGGGCAGTGGTGAGGGGTTGGAGGGGGTTCAAGGGTAGGTGGGACCCTATTAGCTGAGTGTGTTCTGCGCGTCCCGCATGGTGGGGTCGTCCAGTAGCCTCGATCTCACTGCCAACACGTTCTAATGGGGGTAGTGACGGGGATTGATTGAGGGGACTGATGGGGATGAGGGGGCTGAGGGGGGTTGAGGGGGCTGGATGGGTTGGGGGGATTGGAGGGGATTGTAGTGATTGAGGGAAGCACATGTTCCAGGGTGGTCTGGTGGTGATTGCCCCACGTGATTTGAGCTCAGCGTCTTCAGCACGGACGGTGGTGATGGCTCCTCGTACTAGGAGCTCATTGTGTTGGGTGCATCGCGCCTGGTCAGGTTGTCTCAGAGCCTCGACCTCACTGCCAAGGGTTGAGGGAGATGCAGGGGAGATGACGAGGAAAAAGGGAGGTACAGGGACGAGGATGGGCGGAGGGGAACGCTGTACGTGTGGAGGTGATGGCAAGCACCATCTAGGGTTGGGCACGGACGGTGGAGATTACACCCACGAGGCGCGTCACAGAGCGTTGATAACAGGTGATGCTTCTCTGGGGAGTTCGAACTAATGTGGTAACAGGTTCCCAATGGAGTTGTACGGTAATAGGGGGGATGCGGGAATGAGGGGCTTTGTGGGATGGGAAGCAAACGTTTGTTTTGTTTTACAGGTGGGGTTTATTGTACTATATGAGGGTCTGGTGTTGGTGCAGCTATTTGTTTGCTATGTTGCTATGCTAGCAAGGGTTACCTATGGCTAGTATGTGAATTATGTGCGGTTGAAAATAGTACGGCATTATAAGGAACTAAATAATACATAATATGAGACGGCATGGGCGTCGTAACAGATCCGAAGCAGCCGCAGGTCCCAACTAATCATCAGTGACGCGTCATTTCGCTGGCTTTGCGGAACACGGTTACACAATCGTTGGACCTAAACCCTGGACTTGACTCGTAATTTGTGAACGAATTCAGATTCATCACGCTCCATTCACTGCAATTTCTTGTTTTACACGCTTTCCTCTGCGTCTGTCCCTCACCACCACACCACATCCCTCTGCGCTGCCTGCTCGCACCGTAAATTCCGTGAAGGGCGCGATAAGATGGCATCGCGACGTCGCTTCCCCACGTCCGTCGTCAATCATCGCTGTCGCGGCACCCCCGACTGCACCTGCGCTTTCTGCCAAGACTTCGCCGCAGCACCCCCCGCGAACCAAGCCGCGAACGTTGCAGCAAATCCCGCCGCAACCCCCGCCACTGCCAGCGCGGGTACCACCAGAGACGCACCGCGTATACCGTCGTCAGTGGAAGAAGCGACCGCGCTGCGAGCCGCCGTAGATTTCGGCGGCGCCGCTCCGGACTATCTGCGTCGCGGGCGGGCCGACTCGCAGTCTGGGGCCGACGGACCGTTAGGGGATCGTGTAGGGCCCGCGATTGACGGCGTGGCACGCGGCGCAACAGGCGGCGAGGGAGGCGGCAGAGGAGAGGAGGCGATCGACGCGCAGAGCGGGCGGGAAATGGCGGCTGGGCGATCGGGACTGATTTTCGCGACGGGGATGCGTGGGCGAGACGGTGAGATAAGGAGGCGGAGGAGGAGTGGGGGAGGGGCTTGAGGTGAGATGGTTACCCGTAAGGAGGTGCAGAGGGGGGGATGAGGTGGGGGTGATAGGGTAGGGAGAGGGGGAGAGGGGTGGGTAGATGGAGCGGGATAGGGTGGGTCGTTGCCTCTGCGCCTCCCTCCCCTCCACCCAACCCCAATCCCCTGCTTCTTTTATTCCCTTCCGCAACCCAACTGCCAAATTCCCCTTTCTCTAAAACTGTTTCCCCATGAGGATTTTGTTTTTTTCAGACCCACTAAGCTCTTTCGAAATCCCTAATCTTTCCCCGTTCCCTCTCCCCCCTGTTTCGCCCACCAGTTCCCCCTGTGCCGTCCCTGCTGCAGCTGTGTGTGGGCGAGGTGGGGCGCTACCTGCCTTGCCTCCTCCGCATGGACTCACGCGAGTGCGAGTTGGACTTGAGAGGCTTCGTGGCACTGCTGCCCTCGCACGCGCGGGTGCGTGTGCATGTATGCTCGTTGCATGGCACCGTGGGTAGGATGCGCATGGCACCGTGGGTAGGATGCGCATGGCACCGTGGGTAGGATGCGCATGGCACCGTGGGTAGGATGCGCATGGCACCGTGGGTAGGATGCGCATGGCACCGTGGGTAGAATGCGCATGGGGCTGCGGGGATTGCCGGATTGCATGGGTGTGGTGGGTAGGGCGCATGCATGAATGGGCATGGAGAGGCATTGGCCTGTGGCGGGCGGAATATCATGGGAACAGAGATGAGTCACCTTTACGAGTTTTCAACTCGAAGGGACTTCGATATTGCCAAATTCCATGGGTACAGAGAGGTCTAGGTGGGTACAGAGAGGTCTAAGTGGGTACAGAGAGGTCTAGGTGGGTGCATATCACGCAGGGCTGGTCTGTGCTGGTGAGAATGGTTGTGGCCAGAAAAGTCGGACTGGAGCTCCACCTGCCTTGCACTGCACGCCACATGCTCATGCGCAGGTGGCTGTGGGGTTGGGGTTGGGGTTGGGGTTGGGGTTGGGACATGTCTGTGTGGTGTGCGTGCTCCCCTTTCTTCCCACCCTCAATATCTCCAGTCAACAACTTTCTCCCCTTTCTTCCCGCCCTCAACATCTCCAGTCAACAACTTCTCCCCTTCCATCCTCTTCGCCCGCCAACCCCCCACTGCCCCCACCTCCTCCCCTCCCATCCCCACGTCCTTCTCTCCCCGCTCCCTACCCCCTTTCTCCCCCCTCCCTCTACCCTTCCCCCCCCACCACCTTCCTCTCCATTGGTCCACGTGTCAATACAGCTCGCGCTGACAGCCATCGCGAGGCGTCGAGGGCTGCTCTCTGATTGGCTGCTGGAAGCGCTGGTGGATGACACATGGCAGATTGTGGACTTGTGTGGATCTAACGTGTCAGACCAAGGCCTGTGCCATGTGGCACAGACCTGCACCAAGCTTGTAGCTTTAGACATCAGGTGAGACTTCAGGTGAATGTTCAGGTGACCTGGAAGCAAGGAGGCTCTTTCACGAATCAGGTTGAGCGTTCATCGCAGCCTCGCGTCTGAGAATTCTCAAGTGTTTTTTCACACTTGACTTCACTTGGCTGTTCAGGTTCTTTACGCATCTTTTCTTAAAACCGGAGCCCCAAATAGCCCCAAACTGCCTCAACCTTCCTAACTTTGGTTGGGTGTGACCCAGTTGATACCAGCTCTCCTCGCAAATTGTTGGGACGATTTTCGCCAAGCGAAATTACTGTTCATGCGAGGACGATAGCGGTGACAAATCCGCAAACACATTTGCAGCCCGTCCGAAACAGTCAGCGAACGAGTTCTGACGTAGCATTCCACATCTGGTTACACTCGCGATTTTTTCTTACTTAGCGACCCGCTACCACTGATTTCAACACCACCCTGGCTCGCGAGCCAGTCACCTTTCTCTCCCCTTTCAGCCTTCCTAACTTATAAACTCTTGGACCTCCGGTTCTTAAATCTTATACCGGCACCCACCATCGCCATCACCATCATCACACTCTTCCCCGCCCCTCTCCCTGCTCCCACTCCCCCTCCACTCCCCGTGTGCACTTCTTCCCGCCCTCCTCTAATGCGCGTGTGTGTCCCTCAGAGAATGCAACGCCTTGTCGCTCCAGGCGCTCACACTCCTCCTCAAGGCCTGCCCCGCCTTGCAGGTGCTGCGCATGGGGTGAGATCGCTCTTGCCACCTCTCTCCTCCTTTTTGCCTCACATATCTGCCCCACATTCCTGCATCCCATCCCACCAGCCACCCATTCACTCACCCACCCTCCCGACCCAAGCTTTCTGAACTCTCAGTTCCGTCTCCCTTTCCTGCACTTTTCTTCCTATCCCCTCATTCCTCCTGAGATTTTTCATCTCGTCCCCTTTCCACCCGCCTTTTTCACTTTCTCATTCTCCCCTTCTCCCGGCTTCCCTTCCCTTTTTCCCCCGTTCCTCCCTTCTTCTGTTTCCGTTATTCCCTTTCTCCGTTCCTCCCCTTCTCCTCATCTCCCTCACCTCCCTCCCCTTTCCCCTTCTCCCTTCTCTCCTCCCCTTCTCCCCTTCGTCCCTCCATCCCCCTTCCCGTCTTCCTGCTCAGGGGCTCCCCTGCTTGCAACAAGGTCGCCCGAGCAGCAGTCAAGTGGATGCTACCGCAGCAGCCTGTAAGGGGTACAGAAGGTGCAGAGAGCGCAGAGGCAGGAGAGGAGGAGGTGGAGGGGGAGACAGCACAAGGAGAGAGGGAGGGGGGGGAGGGCGGGTGGGAGGGCAGTTGGGAGGAGGTGGAGGAGCGACTGGAGGAGAGAGTTCCTGCCCTGCGGTGGCTCATCTGGGTGAGTGTGTTGGTGTGTTGGTGTGTGGGGGGTGGGAAGGGAGGGGAGGGGGGCACGGGTGACTGGGTGGCTGGGTGGTTGGTGGGGATGGTGGGGATGGTTTGTTCACCAGTGCCCCTTGCGTGGGTCCCCTGCGTGCGCCCCTCTTGCGTGCGCCTCTTGCTTGTGCCCCTCTTGCGTGCGCCTCTTGCTTGTGCCCCTCTTGCGTGCGCCTCTTGCTTGTGCCCCTCTTGCGTGCGCCTCTTGCTTGTGCCCCTCTTGCGTGCGCCTCTTGCTTGTGCCCCTCTTGCGTGCGCCTCTTGCTTGTGCCCCTCTTGCGTGCGCCTCTTGCTTGTGCCCCTCTTGCGTGCGCCCCTTGTGTGTGCCCCTCGCCCCTTGTGTGTGCCCCTCGCCCCTTGTGTGTGCCCCTCGCCCCTTGTGTGTGCCCCTCGCCCCTTGTGTGTGCCCCTTTGGCAGTGCCTCTTCTGATTGCTTTCACCTTCACCCTCTCACACCCATGCTTTCGACCCACCACTCCACTCCCATTCATCGCCTTCCCCAACCATTACCCGTCACCTGCATGAATTCACTCTCACCACTCCTTCCTATGCAACCTGCTCTTCCTTGCCGGCGGATAGTCAACGTGCGTTTGCCTTACCCCTGTGTCCATCCCAACCTCGTTCTCCCGCAATCTCTCTCTCACATCCCCTCCCTTCCCTTCCCCTCCACCCGTCCACCCCCCTGCACAGCCTGAGGCGGACCCCAACACAGCATCACTGCTCGCCTCCAAGTGCCCGCGTATCCTCCTCAACCCCGCCCCGCCCTCTCCTCCTCCCCCCCACTCTCTGCCTCCCCCTTACTGTCACATCCCCACTACTCTTCCCTCCTCCGACCCGTCCATTCCTCCTAACCTTCCCACTTCCATCCCTGCCCTCCCCTCCGCACTCCTCTCGCGCACCCCCCTGCAAGCCTTCCCGGCTCTCCCCCTCGACGCCCCGCACCTGGTCGGTATCCCCCCGGCAGTGTGGGAGAGGGGCGCTGGAGAGGACGAGGAGGAGGGGGAGGAAGGCGAGGAGGATGAGGAGGAGGGGATAAGAGGAGAGGCGGAGGCAAGAGGGCGGAGGAGAGGATTGGTGATGGAAGGAGCACGAGCAAAGGTGAAGTCAGGAGCAGAGGTACCACAAGAGGTACCACAGGAATCAGAGGCGCCACAGGAGTTGTCGGTAGCAGAGCGGTTCAGGCTGGCGTTTGTGGCGCGCGATGAGAGGCTGGCGCCCAAGCGCGCCAAGAACCAGCGCCAGAGGGAGCGCCGCGAGGGGCGGGACCGCGCCGCTGCTGACGTGGCGCTGCGGGCGCGGCTGCTGGCTAGTGCTGCCACTCGATTGCTGCGGCTGTGACGGGACGGGATGGGAGAGCCGCTATTGGCCTTTGGGACCACACTGCTGCTGGCATGGCCCTCTTCCATCCACCGCGGGCGCCGCTGCTGGCGAGTGCTGCCAGCTGATCACAGCGACTGTGAAGGGATGGGATGGGAGGCCCCGTGCTTAAAACGTGCTGCCGTTGCGAGAGAAGGCCAGACTGGCTTCTGTACAGGAGGGCGTGCCCTGGCCTTTGGGACCATGCCCCTGCTGACGTGCCCTCTCTCAGGCGCTGCGGCCATGGCTGCTGGCGAGTGGGTGGGGATGGGAGGCACTGACTTTCAGTGCAAGCACGCATGGCTGTGAAGGGATGGGTTGGTTTATAAGAGGCCTGCGTCAGGGCTCAGGTTTGCAGTGTAATTTTCCCTTCTATACTGATTACAAGGGTGAATTTTTGGGTCTACACTGATGTGCTGGGATAATTTTTTGGTGAGTTAGTGTTACACTGATCTGTAAGTGTAATGATTTAGGCCACACTGATGCTCTGGGGTGATTTTTCCCTTAGCGAAGATTACCCTGAAGAGCGTACAGGGACTCCCCCCCCCCCCCCTCGGAAACTCTACTTATTGAGAAGAAGTTTCCTAGAACTTTCGTAGCGATACACCCAATTTCGTAATGATGCACTACGACGCCAGCACACGTGAGTACTGACAACCGACACCGTGTCACTCCGTGTCTGCTTGCAACCTACCCGTTACTGTAGAGGCGATGCAACCTGATTGGTCGAAGCTGCACTCTCTGCAAGAACGTCAACTTTCCTGACTCGGAAATTTGGGACTCGAGGTTTCCGAACACACTCGAAATTTGCTGACTTGGCGAAAAATACAAGTGTTGCAGCGAAACCAGACAAGCCACTGCGCTCAACTTTTGAGTTCACATCACAACTCCCACCCACCAGCGCCCAACTTACGATAGTAATCGTGCGCGATTTGGGCCTCGAGCTTGATTGCAGCCAGCACATATTGAGCAGCCTAAAGTACAATTAGGGTAAAAAATATACCTACACTGATGCCTCTGGGTAAAGTTTTCAAAACTTAAAGTTACACTGATCCATCAGTGTTTCCAAAAAGGGCACACTGCTCAGAAGGGTTTTGAAAATGTCTACACTGCTAATCGTGAGAAGGCAAAATCCAAACCTAAGCCCTGGCCTGCGTGTCTTGGATTGGGGTTGGGCAATGGGGTGTCTCAAAGCTCACTTGGGACGTGAGGGAGCAGGCGAGCTGCATGTGTATGACAATGGTGTACTGTAATGGTGGTGTACTGCCGGGTCAGCTCCAAGCCACCCTGCCTTTGCGCCGGCGATGGTGTACAGTAATTGTTAGTGGCGCCTCTGTTGGGCTGAGAAAAAAGCCCTTAGGATCATTGCAGGGGTGAACTCTGGGTAGGACTGATGTAGTAGCGGAAGCGTTTTAATGAAGAGTTGTGAACCACCTTGCGCTAGTATGTGAGGGCAAAGTTGATTGATTAAAACAAAGAGATACAGGATTATATAAGAGTACATGGAATATGAAGAGATACAGTTACAACTACTATACTGTTGCTGTTGCGGTTTGATACAGTGACGACTCGAGCAACTGCTCTGTAACGAGTTAGTTGTGTGTCCTTGCTGTCGCGCTCTACTTGTCAGGTCAAAGGTCGCTGACCTTTGACTTTCGCGTAACCTCCAGCAACTGCTCAACCTCCGAGAGTTGACTTGCCAGTGCTTCGATATGCTTCGCTTCGCTTTTGACTTGGTGTTTCGACACGACAGAGGCGCTTAGAGTTAATTGTTTCCAACACTCCCCTTTGCTTCTGGAGTGTCGCTGCTGGTGACATGACTCTGTCCAGTCAGCAGCATGCAGTACTCGAACTTCTGTTTCCCGAGCTTCTTGGTCAAGTAGTCAGCTGCCATCTCGGATGTGGGGCAGTATGACAGCTCGAGTCTTCCTTTCTCGATCTCGTCCTTCGCGAAGAAGTATCGCAGGGCGATGTGTTTCGTCCTGTTCGCGAAGCCGTTCTTGTTGGCGATGCGAATTGCCGACTGGTTGTCGCAAAGCAGGGTGAAGCTGGGTAACTGGGCCAATTTTGCTTCTTCCAGCAGTTCGCGAAGATAGAGTCCTTCCTTGGTGGCTGAGCAAAGTGCGATGTATTCTGCTTCGGCTGAGGAGAGAGCAATTAGTTCTTGCTTGCTCGACTGCCAGGAGATAGGAATGATAGGTTCGAAGCGGTAGATGTAGCCGGTGCGTGAGCGTATGTTGTCAGAGTCCCCGGCGTGATCGGCGTCGACGTAGCCGATTAGTTTAGGCGCTGTAGCCGTGTTCTTATGGTAGGTCAGGCCGATTGTCGGGGTGCTGACGAGGTAGTGAAGAGCGCGGTCGAGCTCCGCCAGATGTTTCGCTTCAGGTTTCTTGAGGTAGGTGGCGAGCTGGCTTGCAGAGTACGATAGGTCTGGGCGGCAGGTGACAGCTGCGAAGAGGAGGCATCCCAGCTTCCTCTGGTAGTCGCGTATGCCGGCGGGCTTGAGTAGAGCGGAGCCTTCCTTGTGGTTTCCTGCCGTGTAACGGTATGGCGTGGAGATGACGGTCGGCGTGAGTGCGAAGCGTTTGGCGATGGTATCGGCGTATTTCGCGGCGCTGAGGTAGATCGCATTTTCTTCTTCCTGGATGTTTAGGCCGAGGTACTGTGTGACGGTGGACGAGACCGTGAGTGTGAGATCCTTTTGTAACTCCCCTTCGAACCAGGTAGTGACGTTGTCGGTTGAGCCAATGTTGAGCAAATCGTCGACGTAGACGATTAGCAGGAAGTAGTCGGTTCCCTTTGTGAGCCGGTACATGCCTTGGTCGTGAGGTAGCTGACGGAATCCGATGCGAGTGAGTCTTGCGTGTAGGTACTGCTGCCACAGCCTTGGAGCTTGTTTGATACCGTAGAGTGACTTCAGCAGCTGACAGACTTGATTAGGTTTTCGGTTGGAGCCGTGCGGTAGCTCGACGAAGATTTCTGCATCGACAGGTGCGTAGAGGAAGGCGTTGGCGACGTTAATTTGCCGCAGCTTCCTTTTCTTCATGGCAGCAATCGCGAGGAGGATTCGCAGCGAGGTGTGTCGGCTGACCGGAACGAGCGTTTCGGTGAACTCGCGTCCGTGCTCTTGATCGAAGCCGCGACCGATCGTGCTTTAAATTTATCAATGGTGCCATCTGCCTTTGTTTTCACGTGGAAGACCCACTTCCCGGTGAGTACAGTCTTGTTCCGTGCTACGCCGATAGGGACAACCTTGCGGAGATAACTACTACAACGGGAGCTAGTCTACTGGCTAGGCACGTGTGCTCGTGTGATCTCTGCGTTCGTTGGTCCTTAGACGTTTTCCTAGTGCTCACACTACTTGCTAATTCACGGGGCAATTTGGCAAGAGTTTCACTAAGAAAAGATGACAACAATGGTGCAATGAAGTTGGCAATGCAAGACTACATCAGAGCTAGCGTTCAGGTCGGTCAACTGCCAGCACAGCATGGTCGACCGCGTTCCAACACGACTTGGTCGACTGCGCTCCAGCAGTGCAAAGTCGACAGCGTGCCAACGCCGCAGGTTGACGGTGTGCCAGCATTGCTCACGCAGGACAGCAGTGCACCCGCTTTGCAGGTGCGCGCAGATGATTGGCGTGCAGAGTCTCGTCACCTGCACAGCGCACACACCACGTCAACCTCGGGCTAACGGCTACCTCTGATCTGCCACGATGACCTCGGGATACCACCACCGAGGTCGGTCTCGCCAACTTCGCCTGGGCGACCGTCGCACTCCTCCGCAGCACTTCGTCGACCAGGTAACCTGGTCGACCGGGCAACGACATCGACCAGCAACTCCCGTACGTGCCCGTCGACCTCCCAAGTCGATGACCACCTCCATGTCGACCTCACCAGGGCGACCACGCCCCTCGGTCGACGACCACGCTACTCGACGCCCATCTGCTCGGCGTCCTGAGTCGAGGTCGACGTCGGCCCCTCCTTCGTCGACCACCGGGTCCAGTCGACCACCCGTAGGTCGACCAGCACATCAGCCGACCACCGAAGTCGGCTTCCCCAAGTTGACGTCCTCCGCAGGTCGACTCCTAAGTCGACCTCCCAAAGTTGGCGCCACCCTGAAGTCGGCGCCCGTGCAGTGGTCCCCGTGCAGGTCGACCTCCTCGTCAACCAGCTCGCCCACTGCTGTAGGTCGGCTGCTCCCCTCACACCCGACCACAAAGTCGGCTCCGCCCAAGCGAGGACGGGGCCAACACACAACTCCCGTTGACACTCCCCTGCCGCGTTCGCGCTTGGGCCCCAGCCCACACAGCAGTACTCCTCGGAGAAAAGCTCGTCGACGTGCACCCAACACACAGCACGCCGGTCACCGCACCAGCCATGCAAGAGGGCATGGCACCTACTGCTGCACGTCATTGTCGCCGTCGCCCTCGTCGGCCAAGCGCACCTGGCTGATTGCGACGGAGCACCGGTTGAAGGCCGGATAGTGCAGCGCCTTTGTCAGGAAGTCGGCCGGCTGCTCAGTGGTCGGGATGTACCTCAGCGAGAACTTCCCGCGCTTCACCATGTGCTGCAGCCAGGCCTGTCGCCGCTCCATGTGCTTGAGGTTGCCCGTCAACCCCATCCCCTCGGCGACTGTGATAGCCGACTTGTTGTCCACCCGAAGGACGGTCGGCTTCCCGGCATCCAGTTGCCGGAACTCTGCAAGGAGGAAGCGAAGTCGGCGTCCTTCCTTGCCGGCTTCGGTAGCTGCCACGTACTCCGACTCAGTCGACGACAACGTCGCACACTTGATGCGCTGGCTCGACCAGGAGACTGCGGCCCCTCCATAGACGAACACGTAGCCACTCGTGCTCGTCCTGTTCTGCTTGTCACTGGCGTCGTCGGTGTCTACGTAGCCGACCAGCTCCAGCGGCTCAGGTCCACCGCCGAACTCCAAGGCGGTGTCGCGCGTATTGGCGAGGTAGGCGAGGCAGCGGTCGACCT